TGCTTGGAGTTTATAGAGCTTTAGGTTATATTTCAGTGCATTACTCTGCAATGAACTGGGTTTCAAGGCACTACAGTAAAAAAGAAATCGGAAGTGTATTTGGGGTGAGGTGGAGCGGCATGGGAGAACGCTGACGGTTGCTTGATTCATTTTTGTCCCAGGTAATGTGAGCCAATGCAAAATGCATGCTAAGCTGGGAGTTTTCTCCTGTTGCACAGGGATCAAAGAATGCAATGTCCTTGAAGGGGAATCTGACTTTGTCTTGTGGGAACAGATGTTGGTGGAAGAGAGGAATTGCAGAGATGCTGGGTATGAAAGCATCAATATTTCTGCTGCCAAGTTTATTTCCAATCCTTCCTAAAGAAAAGGTGGAATCTTTCTCTCTTTTCCTTGGAAACTTGGAAGTTCTGTTGGACTTTCCTTAAGTAGTACATTGTGGTGCACAGGAGTGTCCCACCTTGGCACCTTTTAAGACATGCGGACCTCATCTCCCAGACAGCCATGCTGGCTGGGGAATTCTGGGAGTTGAAGTCTGCAAGTCTTAAAAAGTGCCAAGTGGGACACTCCTGTCTTAAGAATGTCTTGCATTGATTCCCTGCCCGGCTTCTGTCACTTGTGGCACATTCCCATTTCGTTTCCAAATTGGAGCTGCAGGCTACAGCAGGACCACCCATCTAACCAGGATTGCCAACCTCCAGCTTGGTGGGATTTGGGGGAGGGGAGGGGGGTATTCATTCGCATTGGAGTCAGACCAGCAGAACTGCTTGCGTTGCTACCAAGAATTCCTGTTAAGTGCTCTCACCAATCAGAAAAGTAGCCGTGAGGCAACCAGCTTTATCCTGTGTGCACGGTGTTTAATGCAGTCATATCTCGGTATGGGCTCAAAATCTGGGAAAAACTACCTTTTCAGAATGTGTGCTTTTGTGTCTGTACCGCGTGAGGTGGGGGCCTGCCATTTTATGCATAACGAGAGGAAAATAAAAAGACTTTACAAAGACATTTCTTGCTGTTTGTTTGTTCTTTTAATAAGAACTGAAGGTTTAAAATGCTCCAACAATCTATTTTGCATCTCCCTCTTTTATCTCTGCAAGATCCCAGACTGATTCCAGGAAGGACATTAAGTCTAAGCAAGGTATTGGGGTAACAAGCTTTGTCATGAATCATGGAAAGTCTTCAAATTTCTCAATGAAAACTACTAAGGCTGGAGAAAAAAATCATCTGGAATCGTGGAAAAGTTTCATTTTGTTGAATAAAATCTACCTAGAGCTGTGTGGAATATAGCAATAAAAAGAGCTTGTAATAAAAACAACAGCACTGTCTGAAACAATTATTATGGCTCATTGCAGAGAGTTCCATGGGTACATTTTAGGGTACCCCTAAAAAAATTTAGCCAGTTTTTGCTTTACAAAATGCTTGTATCATTTGATGTATGTTTTTTTCCCCCAGAGCTGGCTTAATTGAATAGTTCCTGGGGGAATGCTGAATAAATCAAGATACAGTGTGATTTAAAAGCATTTTCGAGGGACAGCTTAATTAGAATGTATTTGGGAGTGCTGACTTGGTCTTTCTGGTTGCTAAAGTGAAAGTAACACTGAGAAGTCATAGAGTAGATGCTTTCCACCCCAACTGCAAAAACTGTTCCTACCTTTTCAGTGTAATGTTTGCATAGGAACAGTTAATTCTCTACAAAGGAAGCTGGTGAAATTTCTCGTCCTGACAGAGCTTAGGCAACTCTCAACTTCAATCTTTGTAAAAAGCTTCAATTTCCTTTTGGTACTTCTCAATCACGGTTTGCCTCTTTAATTTCATCGATGGACCTGAAAGGGAACGGAATTGGTCATTAGGAGTATTCTTGGGGAAAGAATAAAAAATGACAGATCTTAATTCAGGTTGTATATCATTTAAGTCAGGGGTCCTCAAACTTGGCCACTTTTAAGACTCGTGGACTTCAACTCCCAGAATTCCCCAGCCAGCCATGCTGGCTGGGGAATTCTGGGAGTTGAAGTCCACGAGTCTTAAAAGTGGCCAAGTTTGAGGACCCCTGACTTAAGAGGTTCTAAGCCCTGGAGAAAGAGCTTGAATTTAATTTTCTGCAATTTGAGGGAGTTTATTCTCTGCTTCAGAAAGCAGTTGCCTTCCCTACAATCTACATCCCCAGCTCAGAATGGGAAATAGCCCCATAGACACCCCCCCCCCCAAAAAAAGGATTCACCGTAAACTCACCAAATTCTCCCCCAGAAATGGAGAAATCTTTTCCTAAAATGGCCCACTTCTGAATGCGCTGAGGGTTGCTGAGGGCGCGCCCGTTGATGCGGTCAATGCCATCTTGCACAGCCCGGTAAACGGCGTGGTCTCTCGTCTGCACAATTTCAGTCACCCGTGTGGCTTTGCTTCCGGCTTTTTGGCAGAAGTCTCCGGCTTCCTGGGTCAGGTAGTCGGTGGGTTCCGATGTATCAGGATCCACTGAACACTGACGACGACAACAAATTACACGCCGCACCTTTAACCATGACAAACCAAAACCGAGTGGTCGCACATTTAACAAAACCTAAGCTTGGGTGGGTTGAGTGTTGGGTGACCCTAGTCCAGTTGGCTGGACTTTAATCCAAGACGTTGTGTGAATCCAAAATGGGGTGAAATTGTTCATCTCATCGAGGCAGCCATGAAAGAGGAAAAGGCCCAGGTTTCAAATACGCATCCGAGTATCGATCAGCCTCAAACCTATTTTCATCATGTACCTTTAAGGTCAGCAGCATGGATAAGAACTTCTTCCGATCGCCAATCAATACAGCGTTGCTAACAAGTGGCAGCTCCTTCTTGACAGCTTCTTCCAGCGGGATTGGAGGGATATTCTCACCCCCAGCTGTAATAATCAGCTCTAAGAAGACAGAACATCGATGCTCAGCTCAAAAATACATCTCATGGTTAGCCTAGGCTTCCATCTGGGACAGGGAAGATGGACTAGCCTCCTTGCAAATACTTCTCTATGACCCCATTGGCATTTTCAGTGAAAGCTCAGTTTAATGAACTAGTGCAGAGGTAGGCAACCTTGGCTCTTTTATGACTCGTGGACTTCAACTCCCAGTATTCCTGAGCCAGCATGGCTGGCTCAGGAATTCTGGGAGTTGAAGTCCACGAGTCATAAAAGAGCTAAGGTTGCCTACCCCTGAACTAGTGCAAGGGGTATCCTTTCCACCCACCTCCTCGCCAAATGCCCATTCAAATTGCAAACAACGTCAACTGAATCATGATATCATTTGCATCGATCAGTGTGCAAGGCACATTGCATGAATGAACACAGATTTTGCCCAGATCAAGACATAAACACGTAAAGCAGTAAAAAGTGTGTAAAATTAAACGTGAATGCTTCGATCTGGCTACTTTGCATACAGCAGACTTGTATCCAGATGGAAAACCCATCAGTTGCATGCAAAATTTAAGCTGTCTATTAAAGTGAAGGTTTGCTATGCTCTCATGCGGAATCTCTTGGCCATCCTATGTACAAGAGACTGCCCAATCCACCTCAACCAACATTGTCTACTTCAGCAAAGACTATCCTGAATTTTAGGAAGTACAATGTAGCTCTTGCTGCTACTTGTCTGATTTAGTTGAAACCTAAGCACTCCCACCAAGCAAGAATCCCTCCACAACAAAGAAGCTGCGCTGGGCCTCAAGGAATGCCAAGAGATTCTTCGGAAACTTCTGCAAGATGGCCGAAAGAGGGCAGCCTCCATCAATGATGGAGCTTGAAATTTGGTATTAAAGTATTGGGGAGAAGCACCTGAGTATTTAACAACCTGGACAGCTGAAAGGAAATAAAGTAGGGCAAGGCAATCTCCAGATGCATGAGACTAAAGCTTCAGCCAGTCTGGCCAATGGGAAAGAATTATGGAAATTGCCATCTAAAACATCTGAAGAACTTCAGGCTCTACAAAATACACCAAAAAGGCACCACCTTTAATTCTTCCGGTGACATAAACAAATCCATCCTTGTCCATCTTTCCAAGATCTCCAGAGTGCAGCCAGCCATCTTGGTCAATCACTTCCCTGGTCTTGTCCTCCATGTTCAAATAGCCCATGAAGACGGTCCGTCCCCAAAAGCAAATCTCCCCGTTGCCGTGCTCGTCTTTGTTCACTATTTTAACGAGGCAGCCTGGGACAACCTTGCCACAGCTGCAAGGAAAGGATGTACAGAAGAAAGTAGAGTCTCAACACCATGCTCAGAAGATGTGAGCATTGCCTTTTTCTGCAGCAGCCTGGAGTTCCCATAAGGATGGCCAGAAAAGACCAGACCAGACCCACAGTTTTTTATTTAAATTGCAATTGTACATTTGCTTGATTTTTAAAATAGTGAAGCTCTGGCACTCAACAGCTTCCGGATACATTATGACATTGTCCCCAATACTTCCAAGGAGAAATGGTCTTAGATATATGGGAAAGCAGGTCTGCCTTTTCTCCAATCTTGCTTCAGAGCAATGTTTCTCAACCGTGGCAACTTGAAGAGGTGTGGACTTCAATTTCACACTGGCTGGGGAATTCTGGCTGGGGAATTCTGGGAGTTGAAGCCCACACCTCTTCAAGGTGCCAAGGTTGAGAAAGACTGCTCTTGAGTCTCCAAGGAATTCCAAATAAAGCATGGGATTTCACACTGGGCTTAACAGAGTTACTAAATCATACCAATGCTTTTATTTGCCAGTATACTAAGCACAAATAAGCTCAGGCATAAGGAAAACTAAACTTCATACATTGTAAAAATGTAGCTGCGCAGTCTTTAATTGCAGAGTGTAGCCCAGGAGTCAGATGTAAAGGACCGAACTCTCACAATTTTGTGTGAAGCTACATTTCACACTCACACACAGAGTGTAGATGCCAGCGATGGCAGGGAAATCACCCCAAATACCTTTTCCCGTGCTTATCTTTGGAGATGCCCCCAACCCAGTCTCTCACCACCTGCAGCCTAAATTTCAAGGTTTCTTTGGTGGGGCTTCTTAAGGAGAATAGGCCAGAACTTTACCTGTTGGGTCGATAAACGTGTGGCCCAGATAAGCAAAAGGGACCGGAGGTTTCGCTCATCCCGTACCCTTCATAAATAGGGATGTTCAGGCCGAGGAAGAAGTGGGAGACTTCCACAGGGAGAGGGGCACCCCCGGAGAAATGCTTCTGGCACTGGGAAAGGCCCAGCGCCCAGCGGATCTTCGCCAGGAGCAAAGAGTCCACCAACCTCATCCAGAAGGGCTTAGAGTCCCTACAAAGATACAAAAGGTCCAAGGTGAGACGGGGAGGAGCCAAGTGACCCTTGTCACGATTCAGAAAAAAAGAGACTCAAGGTGATGCAACGTGGATAGAGAGGAGGACAAAGAGCGTCAGACAGTCTTAAACAGCGATCCCAAACAAACCCATTCATGCCAACTTGGTGTTGTTTCAGGAATACATTCACAAATAACCACTGCATTTTGCCTATCTGGTTTTCCAAGGAAAGGACGTCAGATGGGCCCGAGAAAACAGAGTGGTTTGCCAGAGGCTATTTACGCCATGAAGCTTTGCAAGTTATCCTGCACAAACTGAATCATTTTTGGAGCTACAAAGATCTGCAGCTAGACTCGAACATCTAATGAAGGCATTGCTTCGGTGAAGGCAGAGTTTTCTAACCTTGACTGCTTTAAGATGAGTGGACTTGGCTGGGGAAGCCAGCTGGGGAATTCTGGGAGATAGTCCACTCATCTTAAAACAGCTAAGGTTAGGAAACACAAGATTAGGGGTTTATTTTTCCTTTGTGCTTTGTAATAGTTAATCCTTTCCCCCCAAAACAGGTCCATGGGGTACCCACCTATTTGAGCAGCTTAGGTTTTGTTCCAAAGTGGCCGACATGGCCCAAGATAGTGTCTTCCTCTTCAGCAATCCAGTCTGAGAAGACACCTCCTTGATCTTCTCCATCATCTTCTCCCACACGCGGGGTACTCCCATTTGTGAAGTGGGCAATGCTTCTCTGAGGACCTCAACCAAGCTTCCCTGTGAAGGCCAAAGAGGGGAGATTGGGAGTGAAGGCTAAGTTTGAAGAGACCAGGGATGCCCACTCCATGCCAACTCCCTAGTCAACAGGTCAGATTAGAGAGAAAATCTCACTCCCTTCAAGCAATGATGATGGGTAACGAAATGTCTGCAAGGAAACAACCAAGCTCAGAGAGCACCGAGGACCTCCACCTCCTCCTCCTCCTCTCCCTTCTAACACTGATGTTGTTACCTAGTTGGATCATGAAACAAGAAAACCACTAAACTCAGAGAGCACTAAGGACCCCACAGTTCAACCCTGAGCTACAAATGGTTAAATATGATTGGGACTGATTAATTAAAACTGCTGATGAGATAAATCAGGTTGTCACCTATAATGTATGCCCACCCTACTTTTCCCTTATTATTTTTCTAAGGGAGTCCCCAGTGGATCTCTCACCCTATCCTGCTGAAAAGTACAGAATGCATCTTATGGAAGATGGGGAACTATGTGGAAAATAAAGTTGGCCCCCAAACCCCATAGAAAGACCTTCAAGGCATCCGGTGGTGCGAAATAAACCTCTTCGCCCCACTTGATCCCAGTCCAGAGATCATACATCTGCCCAGCAACATGGCTCAGGGGTAAGTAACTGACAATCTTTTCCTGCTGGATTTCAGCTGGTTGCACATCTCCTGCTCGACTGGCGTGGGCAGATGTCCAGGTAACCTGTCCAGATTTTTAAAAAGAAATTGCAAAGAATTAAAGCCCTGAACCAAGGGTCTTGGTTTTGTTTTTGTTTTAATTCCCCTGGTCACGTCAGCTCCCTTCAGCACTTTTCCTTCCGAAGAATTTTGTAAGTCACTTGGAATCACCCTATGGGTGTGTTGGGCGGTTACATACATTTGTTTAATAAACAAAATAAAGAAAACTCTCCTAGATGGTAGCTGTTGTTTCATAATAGGATGAAGCTCATCTTCCCTTCTGCCTCTCCGTACCTTTTTTACATCCTGTCTGCTGCAAACCCACTGAGCGCGAATGAGCTGTGCAGAATCCGTCCTACATAAAAGCTCTGCTTAAGCTTCCCTCCATGAATTTATCCTCAACTTTATACTAACTTTTTGGATGTCTGGCTGCAGATCTCTCCAGCTGACTGGGCTGCAGAGTAGAATTTGCTCTATGTTGGTAGAAACACCCCTCCTGGGATTATAGGGTTGGAAAGGACCTTAGAGGTCTTCTAGTCCAACCCCGTTCGAGCAGAAGACCTTATCCTATTCTGGACAAATGGTTGTCCAATCTCTTCTGGGAAACCTCCATGCTGGCCAGGGAATTCTGGGAGTTGAAGTCCATACATCTTCAAGTGGTTGAGAATCATGGTTTTAAGAGCTTCCGACACCATCAACCATGGTAACTCGCTGGACTGCCTGCAAAGGTTGAGAATTAGGGGCACCCTTCTGCAGGAGTTCTACTCTTTCCTCAGCAAGAAGTTTCAGTCTCCCCCCAAGATCTGACTAGCCCCCTCCTGGTAGCTGTCAGGAAACAATTAAACCCAGAATTGTACAGGAAGTCCTCGACTTACAACAGAGATCAACAAGAACAGGGACAGACATCAAATCAGTAAATAATACTGTCTCCTCCACATCCAGATATGCCGTTCTGCGTCATCAAAGCAGCGCCAAGGTGGCCAAATTCTTGGGCAGAATTTGATCTCCCTTTAAAGTGGATCATCTTTTAATAAAAGGGGCCTCAACAGTGAGGGCCTACAACAGATGCTTCCCACAATGAGGGAGATAATAAAAATAGCCTTCCTACATATGGAAATCAGGAATAGCCGGCTGACAAGCTGGAACTTACACAGAGAAGAAGTCATTATTGGTCACCAACTTCAACTCTTATTATCCATGAATAGTTTTGTTTTGTTTTGTTTGGATAAGACCAGCTCAACAAGGAGAGAACACAAATATTCTCTTCTATCAATAAGATCATCTCTACTGGGATTTGAACCATCTCCAGAAGTGGTGGGTGCCGCCTCACTGGAGGTTTTTAGGAAGGGATGAACAGCCATTTGCCAGGAACGGTATAGGGTCTCCTGCTCAAGGAGAGGTTGGACTAGAAGACCTCCAAGGTCCCTTTCAACCCGTCCTGACTGGGGAATTCTGGGAATTGAAGTCCACAAGTCTTAAAGCTGCCAAGGTTGGAGACCCTGCTGCAAAAGACATTTCTTCCACCGGACATGACTAAGGAACCTCCCTCCACTGTCAACCTGAAGTGCTCTCCAGCCTTCCGTGAGGCAGCCAAAATCTCTGGCAGGATTTTCTCCGTGCCCAGGGCCAACCTCTCTCCTGCCACAGCTGTCTCTCGCTTCCCAGTCCCCTGACCTCTCTCCAGCATGATGAGATGCCTTTGCAGCATTGGAATAAAAGAGAAAACATGATTTATACCAGTTCAGCCGAGGACAGAGGAATCTCTTTCACTCCCGAGCTGGCAAAAAGACCAAGCTGTTGGCAGGGCACATCTGGGCCCTGGCTAGGGAGAAGTAGAAATATGGCCTTTTGTTGCCTTACAATCTCTCTGTTGTACTAAAAATGCACTTTTCTGTGTTATCCCGACACTAAATCAATGGCCAGCATTTATTTCACTACATACTTCGCACGGAAAAACCAAGCCAAAAATGCTTCTTTCGTTTCTCTACTACCTTTTGACTTCCAGAAGAAATATGAACTTTGTTCTAGTGCCGTTTTTTTTAGGCATTTCAGCATTTAGATCTTTTTTTTCATTGTAGATTACTTTCTGTATATTTTAATCCCTTTATTTCAAACCTTAATAAATCTTCCATGCAAAATTAATCACATAAAGGAATTATCATTGTATTCTTGCATTAATTTTGCTCCAAGGGTTTAGTTTTGTTTCTAATTTGCTGTTGTTAACATTTATGGATGTGGACACAGCTAGAATACCTACATTGTCGTGGCTCAGCATGACCCCTTTGGGCTCCCCTGTCGTTCCAGAGGTGTAGATCAGGACACAACATTGGTTTGCCTCTTGGGAATTGATGATAGCGTCAAGTTGTCCATCTGGAATTTCGTTTCCCAACTCCATGAATTCATCCATCTACAGGACAGAGAGGAAGATCCCTATGATGCCCAAGTCTTCATCACAATATAGTTGTTAATCTTTCTGTATTTATTTTCACCAGGCACGCTTATCTTTCTATAGCGCATTAAAGGCTTTTGCAATACACTATTGATACGGCCGTGCCATGCATAGGCTTGCTCTGCAGTAAGTCCATTGAATTTCCATTGGATACCCCAGTTGGGATCAGGAGACTAAACCCCTGCTTATGTCACGTAGGGTGCATATAATTGGTCAAATAGGCTGCTAAAGTAATAACACTTGGAGGGAAAGTTGGAATAGATTTTTGTAGGGAAGGATTGTAAGTTCAATTATTGTCCACCCACCTTTCTAATTTTGCATCCTGGTCTACTAAGTGGATTTTTTGATTCTAGATTATTTTTTTTTAAAAAAAGGTCTTCCAGTGCATAAACTTTTCTCTCTTTGCACCCAAGGAAAATAAAGGAACTAGAAATTGAGAAAATTAGAGATAGGCAGGGAAGAACTACAAGGATTCTTGAGGGATCTTCAAAGGACTTGTTCTCTCCTTGAACGAGCAATGTGACTTTAAATCTAAGGAAGCTTTTACTGGGTAAACGCACCAAGCCACCAAGTGAGCAGCTACAGGACATATAACTTCACATGTGCCATTTGAACTGTTTGAGGAAGGGTCCTGTGAGCCTCCTCCCATTGGTTTTTTGGGTCCAACCCCCAGAGTTTTAGAACAGAAGCATCTACAGAACTGGAAACCTGACGCTGAGGCATGAGCTGGCCAAGAAACAGCACCCAGGCAACTGGGAGCACACCCATTAACACTTCTAAGAAGGACAGTGTCAGTTTGGTCAGGATGATGAAGTGTGAAGTGTCAGCATGAAGTGTCAACATGTCTGGGAAGAAATCCTTTCTCCATTACTAGGATACTGTCGCTTTGGCGAATGCAAAGGGCAGGGAAGGACAGCCTTACATGTTGGGGACAGAGACCATGATTTCTTAGCCAATAAATTGTGCTTGAGATTTAAGCATCTCCATGTTTCATAATTCATAAGAGCATCTTTTGATGTTTAAGCACTATGCATACGCTCAACCAGATATTGCAGAGATTTTCTCCTTTTCTGTCTTGCTCTAGTATTAATATTTCCTCTTGCAACTATTTTTCACCATCTACAGAAATCCCAGCAATGGGGAGGGAGAATGGAATTAAAACTAACAAGGCAACTAAAATGGATGAATTACTTGATTTATCATGATTTTACATACCGTATACAAATTGGGATGTTTCTCAGACACACGATCTTTATACATCACAACAGCTTTTAAGTACGGTAAACGATCCCAGATCTGTGTAAAGTTTAAGATTTTTTTAAAGTCTTACTTGTATTATGGATAATGCTATACTGGAACAAAAAATGTAACATTCCAACTCAACTTAAAAGAAATCAGACGGATGAATATTACCACATAAACCAAAAATATTAAAATGATAAAAGCTTCATTTCTGCATTATATTTATAAACTTAGAGAATATAGTCCAGTGTGTTTTACACATTGCAGAAAAGGAATTGTGGAACAAGTTCTAAACCTTGCTCTATATTTAACATTTAAGCTATAAATGGCAGTTAACTAACCACAATGCCTGAGTTCACTTGACACCTAAGCCAAAAGCAAAGAAACCATCTTCCAGTTTAGTGATGTACAAACCTGAGTTTGTTTCACAACTGAGTACAGTCCACATTAACCCTTTACAGCCAATTTTATTGAGTCTTGAAGTCAGTAATATGAACTGCTCTAAGCTGACATTGATTGGAGCAGCAAAATGTGGGACATAAATCTAACAAATCAACAAATGTAAGCCCGGCAAATAAATTCACGAATAAATAGATATAAATGAAGTCAAGCTGATACTCTCAAACAGGTTGAATTCTAGCAGCAAGTTCCTTACCTGTATTATCTTGTCCAACTGCTTCTGGTTTTCCACCACTACAATATTAGCTCTGCAGTCATGAGCAATATAATGACAAGCTTCTGGAGAACTGGTGGTGTAGATCCCGGTCACAATGCCACTGTTGTGGAAGATGAGTGGAAATAAAATTTCCCTTTTAATGACAAGCATGTCAAATCATACAAGTGAGTTAATATTTCCCAGCTTGAAAACCAAGGTCTTACAACAATTATAGGAGTTCACAGATTTGTTTTAAATTAGTGAACAGGGCCCAGCAGACATGGCTGACCTCAAAAACAGGTATCATGGTTCCGACAGATGAAACTCTTTAAAAGAACTTCGAGGCATTGTTTACCTTAAAGAATCTTTTATTTGAGAAACAAAGCATCGGTGCTACATAGTTAAAGTCAAAAACTGAATCCCCCCCCCTGCACAAAGTAGCAAAGGACAATTCCCTCCTCCAATTAACAGTCATAAATCACATTCCCCAATTAGTTTGAAGCAGGGCTTTCTCCCCAGCTTGTCAAATCTTTATCAGTTCTGGGCGCAATAACCTTGATTCCCAGGGCTGAGTTATTGTTGTTATGACTAACTGGACTCTCATCCACATCCCCCCTCCCAGCATCATCTACCTCTAAAAGCGAAAGAGAAAAGATGGCTACATTTCCATCTGTTGTCAAAGCAAGAACATCCGATGTTAGCAGCGTTGACAGCAGGACTGAAACTGGGTGTTTGGATGGGAAACTAGTTAGAAATCCCAGACTATAACCTAAACCAGTGTTTCTCAACTTTGACCGCTTGAAGATGTATGAACTTCAACTCTCAAAATTCCCCAGACAGCCGGCTAGGGAATTCTGGGAGTTGAAGTCCACACATCTTCAAGTAGTCAAGGTTGAGAAACACTGATCTAGACTGAGAAGTCAGTGGCAATTCGCTTACGAAAACTTGATGGACATTTCCACACCATCATCAAGACTTGTGCACAACTTGCAGACTTAACTTTTCAACAATCCCTTGCATTTAATGCAGCTTGCTTGTGAGAAATATCCAATAGTTTGTAACTTGTTGACCTCTGGACTTGCTGACACCTCTCCTGCTCCCCTCACCTGCAGTGAACCTGGCCAAGAGGGGGACTCCAACTAAACCAGTAGTTACCTCAGCCCATCTTCCCTGGCCAGGAGCTTATTTGTGTCAGATCTTCCTCTGTAAATCCCTAAGGAGGACATTTCCAGTCTTACCCAGCAAAAACAGCTCCTACAGCCGAAATGAACCACTCTGTAGAATTAAAACCCAGAATCGCAACACTGTGGAATCGTTCAAGGCCAAGCTTGGGGGAAAAAGGAACAATACCGTCAACATTTTTAGAAAGAAAGAGAAAGTCCTTTTTTCCCACTGAGATGTGAACTTTGCTAATTTCTCACCCCCCCTCCCCTTTCTCATTTAGCTTGGCATGCATAATTTCTAGGTCATTTAGCACAGAATTGTTACCCATGCCAACTTTCAGGCTGGGTCTCTGATTTTAGCTGCTTGTTATTGCTTTTCTAAACACCATGTAATTTCTTGCCGTTTAAAGATTATTTGCCTTACTTAGTCAAAATAAAAAGAAGGGCATTGGCGGCTGTCTTCACTTATCAAAACAGCTATGGCTTCATGAGGAAGGGAAGGGCCAAATTATCAGGGCTTGAATATCTGCAATTGCTGAAAAGGCAGCGGAGGAGGAGGAGGAGGAAAAAACCCAGGAAGGGGGTATATGCCCAGAATTTTTTAAGTGAAAGGCTGCCACAAGATTCCTGCTGAAATATTCTTTATAAAACACTTGCAAAAATACCTGTATAGATTATTCTTAATATAAAGATAAAATTGAACAGATATTTGCACATAATTAAATAAGTCTCAGTCATCCCAAAGACCACAGTCTAGGTATTTGATATAAAAATCCAAAATTTACCTTCAGGAAACTCTTGGCTGCTTTCCGAGAAAGGTGGTAATACTCAGAAAAAGTAATTTTTTCCCATTTCCCCTCCTTTTTGCTGGCTAATGCGTTGAGAGACTTGTATTTCTCTAGAGATTCTAGGAACATCTGGTGAACTGTCATCGGCACTTGTGAGCAGGTGGGGTCTCTTCGCAGCTTCACCTGCCCGTCTACTGTTGTGATCCAGAGAGGAGCTAGGAAACAAGAGCAGATTATGCTGTGACATCTGGAGATGAAAAACCCTCTAAAGTCCAGCTGTACTAGCTCCACTTTTTTCACTGGGACCAAACAGGTATTTGCAAGGAGGATAAAAGAGACAACTTTCCTCTTTCCTCTACAACTTGTTTTCTTCCATAAACAATCTTTCTATATCGTAATCCTACAGCCAGGAGGATTCTGATTTTACTAATTTATAAAACAGAGCAGGAGTCAATAAAGGAGAATATTCATAGCTCAGGGTTGAAGTGTGGGGCCCTTGGGGCTCTCTGAGCTTGGTTGTTTTCTTGTAGACGTTTCATTATCCAAGTAAGTAACATCATCAGTGCCAGAAGGAAATGCAAGAACCCCATTCACCTCTGACACTGATGACATTACCTAGTTTGGTAATGAAACAGCTGCCAGGAAAACAAATCAAGTTCAGACTCCTCAGGGTGGGAGCCTTTGCAATATGCAAGATAGAAAAAAAATCATGCATCATTGTCCCAAAAGTAGATTGAGTTCCACCTTCAGTCTACTTCAATGTATCATAAATAAACCAATTCAAATTCATCCCGATATTCATTTACCTGAATCTTTTTCCAGACTCATTCCAGAATCTTTTCCGATCCTCTGGGATTCTGACAAATTTCTGCGAAAGGAAGAAAATTTTAAAACTCCCTTTAAACTCTGGTGGTTAGTAGTTTGCAGAGGCTCAATGTTCTGAAAAGACAAATCGCAGCAGGCAGTATTTTTTTTTATCTAAAAGCAGGGTAGAAACATAGAACAATATTCTCCCAAGCAAGTTCTATAGATAAATGAGTTTAGCACATCAGCATTTCCTCTTTTTTTTCACAAGGGAAATTATTCTATGCAAACAAAAGAATACAAAAAAAAAAAATCTTTATTTTTCCCAATAGCAAGTTTTGCAACTCCGTATCTTTTTTGGAAGGTCATTTTCCTTTCATACAAAAAGCGGCACTTATTCTCTATTTCAGAATTCAGCTTACCCTCCCCCATCCTGTTTCAGCCCAATCTTTACTGCTGTTATAGAACACACATTTGTGCATTCCTATATTTTAGCCCATTGAATTGTTTTATCTTCAATTTGTCAAAAGATAACTCAAAAAAAGTTGCCAAGAAGTTGCCGTTCTGGAAGGACAAAACTTTCTTGCTGCCCGAGTGCAACTCAAACAAACAAGATGTGGGTCAAAACTTTTCCCCTAGTCTTTTGAAATTTTTTTTAAAAAGGGGGGGTATTATCTGTTTGATGTGTTAGAGTCCTGATATCCTTATTTCTAAACAAGCACCTATACAATGCAGCTTCCATCTTTTAAGAAAAAAACAATTTCTCCAGGCATTATTTTACCTGATTTCTTTATTTCTGGCCTCTTTTGTCCTGCTACAGTTCTTTCTTCAGAGACCCAATCAAACTGACCCAGTTCTTGGCAGACAAGCAGAGTGGCATCAACTCTACTAAACTCCAGAGACAAACTGCAGATTTTAGTTAAGAATCCAATGGACATCAACTTGGCCCAGACGTGCAGCGAGAAAGATTGAGGGTCTCCAAAGCTCTTCCTGGTCAACTTGCTGGGAAACTCCTTCGTGTTCAGCGGGGACAAACTTTCCTTTCATTCAGTGTTTTTTTCCTTGTCCGTGAGAAGAATCTCAATGACGTTTGTGGTCAGTCATCCCTTGGCACAAAGGAGAAACTGGAAGTGGCGGAGTCATGGATGGAGACCCTGAAAGAAGTTAAATTTCTGGAAGGAAGGGACGATGCGGCCACAAAAGCATTTCGGCCACTGCAGTGTATGCAATTTATTGTGAAATCAAGATTCGGCTTTCGGAATTTTTAATTCCCCCTTGCACAGATAACAATTTCATTCATTCATTCATTCATTCATTCATTCATTCAAACTTTAAACCACCCCATCTCTGAAGCTCTCAGGTTAGTTTGCAATAAACCACCATAAGCAAAACAGTAGGAATGAAAACCTAGGCAGATAAAAAGAAGAACACACTACAGGTTCAGCAATGACAAGGCAATACAAATAAAAAGCCAATTAAATAAAGGTGAAAATAAAAGGGCTTTTATCTGGGACCAAAATGCTGCCTAGGTGAGCCTTTCTGGGGAAGGGTTTCTCTCAACCAGGGGGCCACCACAGAAAAAGCTCTTCTTCTTCTACATCTGAACTCACCTTCCTTGGTTGGGGGGACCTGGAAGAGGGCCTCACTGAAACTTCTTAAGGCACAGGTAGATATAGAAATCAAATTAAAGTAAATCAAATCAAATCAAATTAAGTAGAATGCTGGTAACCTGATACTATACTGTACCTTCCATTCTGGTTTCCTGCTGTTTGCTGCTAATCGTGTGAAAATCTCATTAAATCGGTGTTGATTCTTAGTGACCACATATCTAGATTTTCTTGATGATGATCTATCCCCAACTTGGTCCTTCCGATCTTCCAAGTGTGCCCCCATCACCATTATAACTGAGTCCCACCACCCAGCTTCAGGTTGCCTTCTTTTTCACTTTCCTTCCATCTTTCTCAGCATCAGAGCCTTTTCCAGCCTTTAATATGTTCAAAACATGATAATTTGAACCTGGCCATTTGATCCTTGAGTAAGAATTCTGGGTTGATTGATTCAATGATCCATCTATTTGTTTCTTGGTTGTCCATGGTATTCTCAAAAGTCAAAGGAGAATCTCAGTTATCCTGGTCATGGTTGTCCCAAGGGTGCTTTTTCAAGAGGCATCTGGACTTTCTTGGTTTTTCCTTGAAGACGTTTCATTTCTCAACCAAGCTTTTTCAGAACTGAAGCAGCTTCTTGGATGAGAAGTGAAACATCTTCAAGGAAAAACCAAGAAAGTCCAGTCGCCTCTTGAAAAAGCACCTTTAGGATATTCTTCCCCAGTGCCAAAGTTCAAAGTATCAATACTTGATCAGTCTTCTCCATTTTAGAAACTAATAAATTGTAATAATGTACAAAAAATACAGTTCACTCTTCCAAAAAGTGTATCTATGCCCTTCAGCCAATGTACAAATTAAGATCTGATAAAACAAAAATGACCTGCTTTTTTAAAGACTGGAAGCCACATCTAATTATGGGGTGAGATTGACAAGGAGTTTGGGTGACCCCAGAATGTTAAAAAAAGCAGCTTTTTATTAAGCAGAAGAAAAAGAATAGGTTTTTTTCAATTTTATTTTTCCTAGGGTTTAAATAAACTCTGCGGGAATGCACCCTGCTGACATTATTCTGGGATGATCATTGTTGTAAAATTATTTGACAGTGGCACGAATTAAAAATGGATGATATTAAATTATTTTTGTGATTGTGCTAAGCCTCTTTTGAGGTGTACATTCCCAGTTCTGGATTTTTCAAAACTGGAATAAAGCATCAGGTTATTTCTGGAAATTAAAGGAACTTTGGAGGATCCCAGAAAAGCTTGTGGATCATCTGAAGCTTGGAACCCTCCTGAATTTTCCAATACTATGATGGAAGAAAGAGGAACATGAGACCCGCAGAAAAAAATTAAGTGTTCCTAAGCAACAATAAAGACTAAGGATAGCAACATTCCATGAGTTCCATTTGACAGTTGGCTAGAGGAAAAAATAGGTGGAAAGTTCTCTGGTGGTGAAAGGATGAAACTTCTCAGCTTCTTTTCTCTCCTAAAATTCAGCAGCATCTCCTAAATGATCACCACTGTTCCATCTTCTGCTTCCCAAGTTGCCCAAAATGTCTTCCAGCATTTCACTCATTAGATGAATTGTCACAGTCAATGCAGGTAAGTTCCTTGCCAAAATGATAGGATTGTTGGGGTTGCTACTCTATAAAAACTTAAGTAAAATGGGTTTAATTAAAAATAAATTAACGGATATCCATTGGGTGTGGTCAAAAAAAAAGTCAAGATGCAGCTTCAAGCTCTTGTATTGTATTGTGGGAGGCACCGTTATGCGGTGGTTCTCCTCCTTCCTCACCGACCGTACGCAGTCTGTATTGGCAGGGGGACAGAGGTCGACTCCTAGACCCCTAACTTGCGGGGTGCCTCAGGGGTCGGTCCTCTCCCCCCTTTTGTTCAATATTTATGTGAAGCCGCTGGGGGAGATCATTCGTGGCTTTGGGGTGGATTTCCATC